GGGAGTTTGGATTTCAACAGAGAGCCGGAGAACGGGAGCTGGTACTCACAGCCAGCACGATGCCGAACACCCACAGGTACTCCGCCACAAACCCCAGCAGGTCCCACTGGGAACCGTCCCAGAAGTCGGGGTTGTCTCCGGGCATGGCGGGGTGGTAGTCGCGGCCGGCTAGCGGGTCGTCCGTTCGGAACACCACTGCGCCTTGAGCCTTCTTCATGCTCGCCCTGCCGCCGGCTGGTGAGGGGGATCAGTGGGTAAAGAGCCAAGTCATACACACGCAGGCACACACACAGACGCACACACACGGGGATGGAGGTTTTTGACTGATACAGCTTGCTAGAGGGTCGTCCGTTCGGAACACCACTGCCCCTTGGGCCTTCTTCATGCTCGCCCTGCCACCGGCTGGTGAAGGTATGTGTGGGGGAGAGAGAGGCAGAGTGAGAAACGGGTTTGTCCCCGAGCATGGCGGGGCGGTAGTCGCGGCCACCTAGGGGGTCGTCCGTTCGGAACACCACGGCTACTTGGGCCTTCTTCATGCACGCACGCACGCACGCACGCACGCACGCACGCACGCACGCACGCACGCACGCACGCACGCACGCACGCACGCACGCACGCACGCACGCACGCACGCACGCCCGCACGCACGCACGCACGCCCGCACGCCCGCACGCCCGCACGCCCGCACGCCCGCACGCACGCACGCACGCACGCACGCACGCACGCACGCACGCACGCACGCACGCACGCACGCACGCACGCACGCACGCACGCACGCACGCACACACCCACACACGGGGAGGGATGTTCTTGACTGATACAGCCGGCTAGCGGGTCGTCCGTTCGGAACACCACTGCGCCCTGAGCCTTCTCCATGCTCGCCCTGCCACCGGCAGTTCAAAGGAGTGAGACACATAGACACCAAAAGAGAGGGGCGAGAGGAATCATGGGCTTGCTGTTGCCTGCTACAACCGGCTAGCAGATCCCCCGCTTTTAACACCACTGCGCCTTGAGCCTTCTTCGTGCTCGCCCTGCCGCCTGCAGTTCAAAAGAGTGAGACACACACACACCAAAAGAGAGGGGCGACAGGAATCATGGGCTTGCTGTTGCCTGCTACAACCGGCTAGCAGATCCCCCGCTTTTAACACCACTGCGCCCTGAGCCTTCTTCGTGCTCGCCCTGCCGCCTGCAGTTCAAAGGAGTGAGACTCATGGGCACCAAAAGAGAGGGGCGACAGGAATCATGGGCTTGCTGTTGCCTGCTACAACCGGCTAGCAGATCCCCCGCTTTTAACACCACTGCGCCCTGAGCCTTCTTCGTGCTCGCCCTGCCGCCTGCAGTTCAAAGGAGTGAGACTCATACACACCAAAAGAGAGGGGCGACAGGAATCATGGGCTTGCTGTTGCCTGCTACAACCGGCTAGCAGATCCCCCGCTTTTAATACCACGGCCCCTTGATCCTTCTTCCTGCTCGCCCTGCCGCCATCTGGTGAAGGTAGTGTGCTGGGAGAGGGGCGGGAAGAGGGGCGGGAAGAGGGGCGGGGAGAGGGGCGGGAAGAGGGGCGGGAAGAGGGGCGGGGAGAGGGGCGGGGAGAGGGGCGGGAAGAGGGGCGGGAAGAGGGGCGGGGAGAGGGGCGGGGAGAGGGGCGGGAAGAGGGGCGGGGAGAGGGGCGGGGAGAGGGGCGGGGAGAGGGGCGGGAAGAGGGGCGGGAAGAGGGGCGGGGAGAGGGGCGGGGAGAGGGGCGGGGAGAGGGGTGGGAAGAGGGGCGGGAAGAGGGGCGGGGAGAGGGGGCGGGGAGAGGGGCGGGGAGAGGGGCGGGAAGAGGGGCGGGAAGAGGGGCGGGGAGAGGGGCGGGGAGAGGGGCGGGAAGAGGGGCGGGGAGAGGGGCGGGGAGAGGGGCGGGGAGAGGGGCGGGGAGAGGGGCGGGAAGAGGGGCGGGAAGAGGGGCGGAAAGAGGGGCGGGGAGAGGGGCGGGGAGAGGGGCGGGAAGAGGGGCGGGAAGAGGGGCGGGAAGAGGGGCGCCGGGAGGGTAGGCAGACGGACACATTGGATGAGAGAGGACGCTTGGATGTGGGAGCAGGGCAGACAGACAGATGCGCACAAGTCACCGCATCGGCTGCGCGTCTGGCCTTCTTTATGCTCGCCCTGCCGCCAGCTGGTCAAAAGGGGGCCGCCAGCTGGTCAAAAGGGGGCCGCCAGCTGGTCAAAAGGGGGCCGCCAGCTGGTCAAAAGGGGGCCGCCAGCTGGTCAAAAGGGGGCCGCCAGCTGGTCAAAAGGGGGCCGCCAGCTGGTCAAAAGGGGGCCGCCAGCTGGTCAAAAGGGGGCCGCCAGCTGGTCAAAAGGGGGCCGCCAGCTGGTCAAAAGGGGGCCGCCAGCTGGTCAAAAGGGGGCCGCCAGCTGGTCAAAAGGGGGCCGCCAGCTGGTCAAAAGGGGGCCGCCAGCTGGTCAAAAGGGGGCCGCCAGCTGGTCAAAAGGGGGCCGCCAGCTGGTCAAAAGGGGGCCGCCAGCTGGTCAAAAGGGGGCCGCCAGCTGGTCAAAAGGGGAATTAGTCAAATTTTGAATTAGTCAAAAGCAGGGCCAAGAAGGGGAGGAGTGAGTGAGTGGAGCGAGTGGAGCATTAGGGAAATGGTGTTAGAAGCAATTCTTTTAGTCGACTTAAAAATCGCCTCATCACAGGAGGACCGAGGGAAGGTAGTGGCATTGGAAGCAGAGAGCATGTAGTGTGCCTTGTGCATGTGAGGGGCAGAGGGTTGAGTGACAGGAAGACGGGCAGAGAGACGAGCAGAGAGAGACGAGGAGAGAGAGATGAGGAGAGAGAGACGAGCAGAGAGAGACGAGCAAAGAGAGATCAGGAGAGAGAGAGAGACGAGCACCAACCAACCTTGAGGGAGTGGAGGAGGGTGACGGCGATGGAAGCAGCGAGCAGAGAGTGTGCCTTGTGCGCGTCTGAGGCAGAGAGGTGAGTGGCTGACAGGCAGACGGGCAGCGAGACGAGGCAGAGAGAGGCAACATGAAAGACGCGCGCGCACGCGCGCGCACACACACACACAAACACACACCAACCAACCTTGAGGGAGTGCAGGAGCGCGAGGGCGATGGCGTTGGAAGCAGCGAGCAGGGAGTGCGCCTTGTTGTGCTTGTAAGGGGCAAAGAGGTTAGTAGGAGACAGGCACACACGGACCTTGAGGGAATGGAGGAGGGCGAGGGCGATGGCGTTGGAAGCAGCGAGCAGGGAGTGTGCCTTGTTGTGCTTGTAAGGGGCAAAGAGGTTAGTAGGAGACAGGCACACACGGACCTTGAGGGAATGGAGGAGGGCGAGAGCGATGGCGTTGGAAGCAGCGAGCAGGGAGTGCGCCTTGTTGTGCTTGTAAGGGGCAAAGAGGTTAGTAGGAGACAGGCACACACGGACCTTGAGGGAATGGAGGAGGGCGAGGGCGATGGCGTTGGAAGCAGTGAGCAGGGAGTGTGCCTTGTGCGCGTCTGAGGCGGAGAGGTGAGTCACTGACAGGCCCATGCGCTTCTTCACAAAGGTGATGAGCTCGTCACTGGGATCGGGGAGGGGAGGAGAGGACAGGAGAGGAGAGGAGAGGAAACGAGAGGAGCAGTTTGGGTGAAGGGGATAGAACTCGGGGATATCTGTTTCCGTCAGGACTCAGTAGGAGAGGTGCATCACTAAGAGCCCAAGGTGCTTCTTCACAAAGGTGATGTTCTCGTCACTGGGATTGGGGAAGGGAGAGAGGAGGGAGAACTGTCAGTAATTGATAATGGAGGTGCGTCACTGAGAAGCCCAGGCGCTTCTTCACAAAGGTGGTGAGTTCGTCCCTGGGATAGCGGCAGAGAGGGGATTGGGTGATCGCACAGCGGCGTTGATAAGAGAGGTGAGCGTCTGATAGGCCCAGGAGCCTCTTCACAAATGTGATGAGCTCGTCACTGGGATTGGGACGAAGGGAGGAGAGGAGAGGAAATGAGAGGAGCAGTTTGAGTGAAAAGGATAGAACTGTCAGTCACAGGATGAATTCTTGTATATCTGCCTCAGTCAGTAATAGGGGCGCGTGACTGACGGCCCAAGGCGCTTCTTCACAAAGGTGATGAGCTCGTCACTGGGATTGGGGAGGGGAGGGGAGAGGAGGGGAGGGAAGGGGATGTGCGGTTAGGGTACAAGACTAGAACTGTGAGCAGCTGGATGGCTGTCGTAGAGCTGCTTTGATGATGGAGGTGAGTCACTGCCAGGCCCGCCCGGCAGAATCTCTTAAAAGTAATTCTTGCCAATAGCGCCGCTGGTCAGCTGGTGTCTCACCTCTGAGATTGCTCTCACCTCTGAGATTGCTCTCACCTCTGAGATTGCTCTCACCTCCGAGATTGCTCTCACCTCTAAGATTGCTCTCACCTCTGAGATTGCTCTCACCTCCGAGATTGCTCTCACCTCCGAGATTGCTCTCACCTCCGAGATTGCTCTCACCTCCGAGATTGCTCTCACCTCTGAGATTGCTCTCATCTCCGAGATTGCTCTCACCTCTGAGATTGCTCTCACCTCTGAGATTCCTTCTGATCAGCGGAACTTGATGATCATCAAGCTGCCGACAATTCCGCAGATCAGCGGGTTTTTTAGTAGACTCAAAAACAACCTCTGAGATTGCTTCTGGTCAGCGGAGCTTGATGGTCCGAAATATCAGCGCTTTTGAGGCACCTCAAAACTTGAAGATCAAAATGATAAGAAATCCGTGATCAAAATGCAACTCAAATCTCCCGGCATTGGATGGGTAGCCTCGTCTTCGGAGGAGCCACGTGATAACGGGTCTGCTTTGAGACGTTTCAAAACAAATGCGTTATCACGTGCCCCGGCTATGGACGGATAGGCGCGACTTTGGAGGAGCTTAAATAGCAGGTTGATGAGCGGAGGAACATAATGATCAGAATGTACCCCCAATGCTTCGATGAGCGCCACACTTCTATTGAGGAATCCTTCCTTGATTATACACAATTAAACACCGCAATCGCACCTCTCGGGGTAGCCTCTGATGGGTCTGAAAACTCCGTCCCTGACGAGCACGAAATTCGGCATGTCGCCATACGCCTTGAACTCTTCGCGAACGCTTTCGCCCGCCGCAATTCCATCCACCATCGCTACAGTCACGCCCAGCTTAGTCAACTCCGCTTTAGCTCCAGACACGTCATCCACGAGCAACGGAAACGCCTTATCCTCCTTATTGAAAAACACTATAAGGACGCGAGAATGCTCCGTTATAGTCTTTCGGAGGGTTGGCACCGTTAAGGCCGGACTGGAGCTTTAATCTTGCCTAACGCAGCTTCTAGCTTCTCCTCTTCGTTCGGATCCGGGGACTTGTAAGTAACTCTCTCCGCTCCGATTACTTTCGCCGCCGTCGCCACTGTCACCGGCGACGTCACCGTTACCGTCAACGGCGTTGTCGGAGACACATTGAAAGACGGTGAGAGGGAGAAGATGACGAGGAGGAGAACAACGGAGGAACGGCAACCTGGCTTGTTAGGGCCTGGCATTAGAGCAGAGAATAGAGCAGGAATGAGAGCAGGAGGGAAGTGAGGAAGGAATGGCGGCTAAATAAGAGCAAGGCGAGGAATCGCAAAGCACGCGAGAGCGGAGCGAGGGTGATTGTCTAGTCTAGAACTTCACCGAGGCTGAAATTACTGCTGCTTGCACCACGGGCCGCTATGAGCAGATCGCTCCAGTCCAGAGAACTCTCCTTAGAACAAATCGCTACTATTGCGGCCGATTCGCTATGCGGCAACATCCGAGCCTTGATAACAACATCACGAGATTCGAGAATCTTCGGGTCTCATCCACCAATCACCAACCAGATGCCATTTATTAACGAATTGAAGATCTAGCAAGGCTTTTGAGTAACAAAAGGTTCGGCGAGCTGTTGACACTCGCCACATCTCGCCCAGCCTGCAGGGAAGTCGGATGACAATTTTGTTGCAGGTGGGTCGAACGTGTATCAAAACTTCAAGAAAATTATCTGCAACTTCGAGCCGCAATGTTCGGGTTAGCTCTGGTCGACCACGGTCGATCTGACCCAAACCCAATCGGTATGGATCGCCACCATTCATAAACCTTGGACCTCGATGGACCCACAGTCCGCCGAACAGGGTGTGAAAAATATCGAACCTTAACGTCCCATGCCAGCGCGGAATTGGTGAAATGGTTCATAAGAGACCCCATCTGCTGACACGAGTCGCCCAATTGGTGTCTTTTCCTGATTGGCTATCGCGATACCCTCTGCCACGGAAGAACCTCTCCAAGCGAGCCTGACTGATCCCACTGAAGATTATTTTCCACGAGCACGAAGACCCCCACCACCAACGCTTTCGTTTCTCCTGCTGCAAAAGGAGTCACCAGAATAACGGCAGTGCTTGGGGAAATCTCACGCACCTGCAGTAATTGTGACATGCTGACAAGATCAAGCAAACACCAAGTCCCTGAAAGTCAAACACCAGATGTAGCTGTGGATAGAGGGGGACAATGGAATTATGGGTTTGCGTTGTGTTTGATGTGAACTCTAGCGTTTGCTGAGGCGGATACATTTGTGCAATATTCTTTCCGCGTTGACCCACACTGGAGGTCACCTGGAGGCGAAATACGGTATTTCACGTTCTCCACGTCGCAACTCTGCGGAATGGCTACTCCGCAGGTCACCTGCGATGCGACTGTACCAGTTTGGTATTATTGGTAGGAACCTGCGAAGAGAGTCTTACTTTGCTGACCCGTGCGGCATTATTGGTCTTTTGGCTTGTGTGGAAGTCTTGCGATGCAGAGGCAGCAAAAGCAAGCTGTTCGGCGGGAATGTGGAAAGTCATAGCACGGGACATGTCACACACACATGTGTGCGTACCACCACTGCCTACTATATTTTCGTCACCATCGCCGCATTTGTGTCAATACTACTGCCGAGTCTCTCTACTACTACTTTTCTAACATCTCATTCGCCGTATTTCCTGATTCTACTACGTCCTAGTACTACTATACTACTACTGCTTTGGAACCACCATGGCCCTCCCACGCCCCCGTCAAGTCTTTGTGCTGCTCCTCGCTGTTGCTGTTGTGACGAGCACGCTCATCAGCAGTGCCGACGCAGAATCCAACGAGATTACCGTGATGGTCGGCGGGTACACCATGTACACAAACAAAACGTTTGTGGATGCCAGTGGAACGGTTGTGCCCCCCACCAAAAACGAGGATGGGTCTGAAAGCATTGGAGAGTACACTATGTACAGTAATGATACTACCGTTGGTCCCAATGGCGTGATTATATCGAAGGGCCCAGACAACAGCCGCATAATTGGCAGCACGATAATGTACAGCGTGTTCAACTTCACAGATCTTAGTGGGAAGGCGCTTCCGCTTGTTCGGAACAGCGATGGTTCGGCGTCTGTAGGAGACGATATGACTCTGTGGAGTAATGGTACCATCGTTACTAAAACGGACGGCATTATAATCAACACTGGGAGTCCCATTGATCTGTCCGGCAAAGCCGCTTCTCCTGGCAATGCCACTTCTCCCGGCAATGCCACTTCTCCTGGAAAAGCCGCTTCTCCGATCAAGCCTGGTACAGTGACCTTGTATCCCGTTATAGGACGCCTTTATGATTATTTCATGCTCCCTTGTGTTGTTTTTGTGATTCTTGTTTCCTGAATCTCCATCGGCCCTTACTTGCCATCGATGATGTAACGGAAGTTCTGATTAACACTTCGAACCATGCTTCTCCCTTGGCAGGCTACATTGTCAGCGCCATTACCATGGCTGCTGGTTTTGCCTTTCTGCTTGCGTAGCCTGCACTAGCGCAGTTGCTGGGAAGACAACCACAGTAGTCTAGGTTATGTAACTTGGCTGGTGGCAACAGACAACTCAATGTATGGTGTTCTTCATGCAACCCTATAGGATTCTCATCAAGAGTATAAAGAAGCATCATGAAGGAGTAACTATATGCCTGCCTTGTTCTTTAAGGAGTAACGTGTATGCCTGTCTAATTTACATCATGTGCGTGTATCACCTGCGAAATGTTGCTGCCCCAAAGGAGTCCCAAAAAAAGCATGTCACGTACCTTACCCTCACTATCGTGAGAGTAGTACAGGTCATATTGGCGCAAACGCGAGCCACATACAACCTGTCATCAAGACTGACTATGCCCAATTCTGTCTGGAATTTGTCTAGTGTGAAAGTACCGTAAACTTATCTAAGCACAGTCAAACAAACATGTACACCCACAACACACAAAGAAGATGAGACAGCATATGAGTTAAGGACCCACTCACAAAGACAGTACATGCAAATACAGTTTTTGTTATTGCGCATCTACAAGAGGGTCATTGACAAACGACTAAGCAGCTGATCCGCTTCCAGTCATGTTACTACTACTAGCAGTACACTTAATGTTATTGTTGAGCTGATACACAGTTAATTTGCATCTACAAGGGAGGAGCATCATCTACAAACGGCTCAAGCAGCTGATCGGCTTCCGATGGTGCAGATGATTCCACATTAACGGCCGAGTCTGCCGTCTCCACCACTTCCTCGTCCTGATTGTACCTCGTCACGGCGTAGAGTGATTAAACGATCTGCAGGAGGGAAGGGAAGCACGAAGCACGGAATAAATCCAATGATTGAAGGTCAGTCAATCATTCCACAGTCACTGCCAAGTTTGCCGTCTCCACCACTTCCTCGTCCTGATTGTAGCTCATAACCGCGTGGAGTGATGAACGATCTGCAAGATCGCAGGGTAAAGGGGAAACAGGGGCAAAGAATGGTGATGACATGTCAGAAGGACAATTCACACAATAACTGCCGAGTCGGCCATCTCCACCACTTCCTCATATTGGTTGTAGCTCGTAACTGCGTATAGCGATGAAACGATCTGCAGGAGGGAAGCAAGAATAGGGAATTGTGTGAGGCAAAAAATAAATGACAAAATGATTCCACACAGTAACAGCCGGACCTGGTGTCTCCACCACCACTTCCTCGTCTTGATTGAAGCTCGTAACGGCATAGAGTGACGAAGTGATATGCAAGAGGGAAGCACGGAAATTGAATGATGATGGCAGGTAAGAAGATGGTTCTAAACAGTTACATTGAGCATGGATTACCCACGGAAAAAGAAATGAGTGATTTCTCTTCCGATGTTACAAGAAAATGGAAAGAACAGTTCACCCTGACTGGATGGCAGTCATGTGTAGGAATTTTAGGAGGAAACTAACACACGGAAAATGACGCAGGGAAAGTGACACAGGGAGAGTGACACAGGGAAAGTGACACACGGAAAGTGACACACGGAAAGTGACACATGGAAAGTGACACACGGTAAGTGACACACGGAAAGTGACACACGGAAAGTGACACAGGGAAAGTGACACAGGGAAAGAGACACAGGGAAAATGACACAGGAAAAGTGATACAGGGAAAGTGACACGGAGAAAGTGACACACAGAAAGTGACACGCGGTAATTGTTGAGCGGGAGGGACTGGGATGGCCTGTGGTGATACTTACAAGGGCTACATGTCCCCCTTCCGAGGGGGTGTGGGTGTAGGTGTGGGTGTGGTTGAGTGTGTGTGCGAGTGTGAGTGGGTGTGAGTGTGAGGGTGGAAGTGGGTGTGAGTGTGAGTGGGTGTGAGTGTGGGTGTGAGTGCGAGTGCGAGTGAGGGTGTGAGTGTGAGTGTGGGTGTGGGTGGGTATGAGTGTGAGTGTGAGTGTGAGTGAACTATTCAGCGAGGGTACGAATTCGCACAGTGAGATCAATGTGAATGGGGGGGGAGGGGGGCGGATAGGGGAGTAGGGAGGCGGGGGTGGGGGGTATGGAGGGTTTGGGGGGGGTGTGGGGGAGGTGACGGGAGGTGGGGTGTAGGGAGGTGGGAGAGGACGGGGTGAAGGGGAAAAAGGGCGCACATAAGGAATCGGTACTCACAGCCAGCACGATGCCGAACACCGATAGGTACTCCGCGAGGACACAAAGACTCAAAGAGACGGACGGAACCAAAGAGAAGGATCAGGAGCACTCATCGCCAGCACGATGCCCAACACCCACAGATACTCTGCCACAAATCCCAGCAGGTCCCACTGGAAACCTTCACCACAGTACGAGGAGAGAGTAATTCTATACAGGAGGCAAACCCGGGTGATGGGACTCACCGCCAGCACGATGCCCAACACCCACAGATACTCTGCCACAAACCCCAGCAGGTCCCACCGCTATCGGCTAGCGTACATACAGTAGGGGTTGGAGGGGTGTGCAAATAACTGCAAGCAGAGAGTCTATACGGGAGGAACACCCACAGGTACTGGGAACCACAGCTAGGTAGTCTATACTCACAGCGAGCACCCCAGTACCCCAGCAGGTCCCACTGGGAACCTTCCCAGAAGTCGGGGTTGTCACCGGGCATGGCGGGGCGGTAGTCGCGGCCAGCTAGCGGGTCGTCCGTTCGGAACACCACTGCGCCTTGAGCCTTCTTCATGCACGCACGCACGCACGCACGCACGCACGCACGCACGGGGAGGGAGGTTATGACTGATATAGCCAGCTAGCGGCCGTTCGGAACACCACTGCGCCCTGAGCCTTCTCCATGCTCGCGCTGCCACCGGCTGTTCAAAGGAGTGAGACACATACACATCAAAAGAGAGGGGCGACGTGAATCATGGGCTTGCTGTTGCCTGATACAGCCGGCTTGCAGATCCTCCGCTTTTAACATGACTGCGCCTTGAGCCTTGTTCATGCTCGCCCTGCCGCCGGCTGGTGACGGGGTTGCGCGGGGAGAGGGGCGCAGAGAGGGTAGGAATACTGACACATTAGATTCGAGAGGACGCTTGGATTTGGAAGCAAGGCAGACAGATGCGCACAAGTCACCGCATCGGCTGCGTGTCTGGCCATCTTTATGCTCACCCTGCTGCCAGCTGTTCAAAAGGAGTCCGCCAGCTAGTCAAAATTTGAATTAATCAAAAGCAGGGCAAATAAGGGGAAGAGCGAGTGAGTGGAGCGAGTGGAGCATCATTAGGGCAATGGCGTTAGAAGCGATTCTTTTAGTCGACTTAAAAATCGCCTCATCACAGGAGGACTGAGGGAAGGTAGTGGCATTGGAGCAGAGAGCATCTAGTGTGCCTTGTGCGTGTGAGGGGCAGAGGGTTGAGTGACAGGACTCCTGTCATAGGAGGACGGGCAGAGAGACGAGGAGAGAGAGACGAGGAGAGAGGGACGAGGAGAGAGAGAGACGAGGAGAGAGAGACGAGGAGAGAGATAAACGAGGAGAGAGAGAGAAGAGGAGAGAGAGAGACGAGGAGAGAGAGACGAGGAGAGAGAGACGAGGAGAGAGAGACGAGGAGAGAGAAACGAGGGGAGAGAGACGAGGAGAGAGAGACGAGGAGAGAGAGACGAGGAGAGAGAGACGAGGAGAGAGAGACGAGGAAAGAGAGACGAGGAGAGAGAGACGAGGAGAGAGAGACGAGGAGAGAGATAGACGAGGAGAGAGAGAAGAGGAGAGAGAGAGACGAGGAGAGAGAGACGAGGAGAGAGAGACGAGGAGAGGGAGCAGCACCAACCAACCGTGAGGGAGTGAAGGAGGCCGAGGGCGATGGTGCTGGAAGCAGCAAGTGACTGTGACTGGCAGAGAGACAGAAAGAGAGAGAGACCAGCACCAACCAACCTTGAGGGAGTGCAGGAGGGCGAGGGCAATGGCGTTGGAAGCAGCAAGCAAGGAGTGTGCCTTTTGCGCTTCTGAGGCGGTGAGGTGAGTGGCTGACCGGCAGACTGGGCAGACAGAGAGGCGAGACACGCACACCGACCTTGAGAGAATGGAGGAGCGTGAGGGCGATGGCATTGGAAGCAGCAAGCAGGGAGTGTGCCTTGTGCGCCTCTGAGGCGGAGAGGTGAGTCACTGACAGGCCCAGCCGCTTCTTCACAAATGTGATGAGCTCGTCACTGGGGTTGGGGAGAATATGGGGGAAATGAGAGGAGCAGTTTGGGCGGAAGGATAAGACTTTGAGCCACTGGATGAGCTCTTGTAGATCTGCTTCAGTCAGTAATGCAGGTGAGTCACTGAGAGGCCCAGCCGTTTCTTCACATAGGTGATGAGCTCGTCACTAGGGTTGGGGCGGAGAGAGGAGGGGATTGGGGTAAGGACAGAGTATTTGCACAGTGGCGTTGATAAGAGAGGTGAGTCACTGACAGCCCCAGGCGCTTCTTCACAAAGGTGATGAGCTCGTCACTGGGATTGGGGCAGAGAGGGAATGGGATAAGAACAGAGTGTTTGCACAGCGGCAGGTAAATGGGCATTGTAGGTAAATGGGCAGATGGGCAGGTAAATTACATTCCTCGTCCTGATTGTAGCTCGTAACAGCGTGGATTGATGAAACAATCTGCAGGAGGGAAGCAAGAATAGGGAACTGCATGGGACGAGAATAGGCCCGATTATGATTCCACACGGTAACAGCTGCGTATGCCGTTTCCACTACCACTTCCTCGTCCTGATTGGTAGCTCATAACGGCGTGGATTGATAAAACAATCTGCAGGAGGGAAGCAAGAATAGGGAATTGCATGGGGCGGGAATAGGCAACAAGATCATTCCACACAGTAACAGCCGAGCCTTGTGCTGATGCCTCCTCCACCACCGCTTTGTCGTCTTGATTGTAGCTCGTAACGCCGTAGATTGACGAAGTGATCTGCAAGAGGGAAGCAAGGGGATTGAATGGCATCGCCAGTATCTTGCAGCAGGTCAGAAAACGGTTCTAAACAATTATCTTGAGCATGGATTATCTTGAACATGAATTACCCACGGAAAAAAAGAGAGTAATTTCTCTTCAAATCTTACAAGAAAAAAGAAAGAACAGTTAGCCCTAACTGGGAGGCAGTTATGTGTAGAAATTTTAAGAGGAAAGTGGCACAAGGAAAATGACCCAGGGAAAGTGTTGAGCAGGAGGCATTGGGATTGCGTGTGGAGATCCCAGGGCTGCATGGGTGTGAGTGTGAGTGTGGGTGTGGGTATGAGTGTGCGTGTGGGTGTGGGATGAGTGTGTTGGTGGGTGTGAGTGTGAGTGTGAGTGTGTGTATGGGTGTGAGTGTGGGTGTGGGTGTGGTGTGAGTGTAGGTGTGGGTGTGAGTGGGTGTGAGCGTGAGTGCGGGTGTGAGTGTGAGTGTGGTTGTGGGTGTGGGTGTGGTGTGGTGTGAGTGTGTATGTAGGTCTGAGTGTAGGTGTGAGTGTAGGTGTGAGTGAGGGTGCGAGTGTGAGTGTGGGTGTGGGTGAAAATTCGCAAGGTGAGATCAATGTGAACGGGGTGGGGGGGGGAGGAGGGAAAGGGGAGCAGGGAGGCCGGGGTGGGGGTATGGGGTGTGGGGTGTGGGGGGTATGGGGTTTGGGGTGGGGTGTGGGGGAGGTGACGGGAGGTGGGGTGTAGGGAGGCGGAAGAGGACGGGGTGAAGGGGAAAAAGGGCGCACATAAGGAATCGGTACTCACAGCCAGCACAAAGCCTAACACCCATAGGGAGTTTGGATTTCAACAGAGAGCCGGAGAACGGGAGCTGGTACTCACAGCCAGCACGATGCCGAACACCCACAAGTACTCCGCCACAACCCCAGCAGGTCCCACTGGGAACCTTCCCAGAAGTCGGGGTTGTCTCCGGGCATGGCAGGGCGGTAGTCGCGGCCGGCTAGCGGGTCGTCCGTTCGGAACACCACTGCGCCCTGAGCCTTCTTCATGCTCGCCCTGCCTCCGCCTGGTGAGGGGGATCAGTGGGGAAAGAGCCAAGTCATACACATACACACGCAGGCACACACATAGACACACACACACGGGGATGGAGGTTCTTGACTGATACAGCTTGCTAGAGGGTCGTCCGTTCGGAACACCACTGCCCCTTGGGCCTTCTTCATGCTCGCCCTGCCACCGGCTGGTGAAGGTATGTGTGGGGGAGAGAGAGGCAGAGTGAGAAACGGGTTTGTCCCCGAGCATGGCGGGGCGGTAGTCACGGCCAGCTAGGGGGTCGTCCGTTCGGAACACCACGGCTACTTGGGCCTTCTTCATGCACGCACGCACGCACGCACGCACGCACGCACGCACGCACGCACGCACGCACGCACGCACGCACGCACGCACGCTCGCACGCACGCACGCACGCACGCACGCACGCTCGCACGCACGCAAATGGCGTTAGAAGAAATTCTTTAGTCGACTTAAAAATTGCCTCATCACAAGAGGACCGAGGGAAGGTAGTGGCACTGGAAGCAGAGAGCATGTAGTGTGCCTTGTGCGTGTGAGGGGCCGAGGGTTGAGTGACAGGAAGACGGGCAGAGAGACGAGCAGAGAGAGACGAGGAGAGGGAGCAGCACCTACCAAACTTGAGGGAGTGGAGGAGGGCGACGGCGATGGTGCTGAAAGCAGCAAGCAGAGAGTGTGCCTTGTGCGTGTGAGGGGCAGGGGGTTGACTGACAGGCAGACGGGCAGGCAGAGAGACGAGCAGAGAGACGAGCAGAGAGATGAGCAGAGAGAGACGAGCAGAGACGAGCAAGAGAGACAACAGGATTGATGCACACCAACCAGCTGTGAGGGAATGGAGGAGGCCGAGGGCGACGGCGCTGGAAACATTAAGTGACTGTGACTGGCAGAGCGATAGAAAGAGAGAAAGACGAGCACCAACCAACCTTGAGGGAGTGCAGGAGCGCGAGGGCGACGGTGCTGGAAACAGCGAGCAGAGAGTGTGCCTTGTGGGAATGAGAGGCAGAGAGGTTAGTGGCTGACAGACGGACGGGCAGAGAGACGAGCAGGGTGAGACAGCAGGAGTGACGCACACACCAACCTTGACGGAGTGGAGGAGCGCGACTCGAGGGCAATGGCGTTGGAAGCAGCTAGCAGAGGGGATATGAGGGGGAAGAGATGTAAGTGACTGACTAGCAGACGGGCAGAGAGACGAGCAGAGGGACTGGAAGAGAGACCGAAAGAGAGAGCAACACCAACCAACCTTGAGAGAGTGGAGGAGGGCGATGGCGTTGGAAGCAGTGAGCAGAGAGTGTGCCTTGTGCGCTTCTGAGGCGGAGAGATGCGTCACTGACAGCCCCAGGCGCTTCTTCACAAAAGCGATGAGCTCGTGACTGGGGTTGGGGCAGAGAGGGAATGGGATAAGAACAGAGTGATTGCATAGCGGCGTTGATAAGAGAGGTGAGCGACTGACAGGGCCCGGGCGCTTCTTCACAAAGGTGATGAGCTCGTCGCTGGGATCGGGGAGGAGGGAATAGAAGTGTTTTCAAGAGCTCTCAAGAATCCCGTCTGGATCGAACGTCTGTTTGAAGCACCATCTCCCCCCACAAGCACGAACACGGAGTTCCGCATTTCGCCAATCGTCACATTTCCTCTACTAGGGTAACCCGAAGATGATACTCATTAAACACCAGACTCGCACCTCTCGGGGTAGCCCCTGATTGGTCTGAAACCTCCGTCTCTGACGAGCACGAAATTCGGCATGTCGCCATACGCCTTAAAATCTTCGCGAACGCTTTCGCCCGCCGCGACTCCATCCACCATCGCTACAGTCAAACCCAGCTTAGTCAACTCCGCTTTCGCGCCGGACACGTCATCCACGAGCAACGGAAACGCCTTATCCTCCTTATTGAAGAACACTACAAGGACGCGAGAATGCTCCGCTACAGTCTTACGGAGCGTTGGTACCGTTAAGGCCTGAACTGGGGCTTTAATCTTGCCTGACGCAGCTTCTATCTTCTCCTCTTCGTTTGGATTCTGCTTGTATGTAACTCTATCCACTCCGATGACTTTCGCCGCCGTCGCCACAGTTACCGGCGACGTGGTTACCGGCGACGTGGTTATCGCCAACGGCGACGTTGTCGGCGACACATTGAAAGACGGTGAGAGGGAGAGGAGGACGAGAAGTAGCGCAAACCGACGGCAAGTTGGCATGTTGAGGGGGGCAAGCATTGGAGCAGAGAAGAAGAGCAGACGCGAGGCAATGGGGGAGTGAGGAAAGAGGGGAAGAATGGCCGCGAAGGAGCAAAGCACGCAAGGAGCTGTCTAGTCTAAGAACAAGAGAATCTGAAATCACCGCCGCTTTCACCGCTAGCTTCTATGAGCAGATCACCCCGGTGAAACGAATCGATACTAGCGCGGACGACTCGCTATGCGCTCCCATCCAGACCCATCACAAGATTCGTGAATCTTTCAATCCAAAATGTTACCTCATTTGTATATATGCACTTATCCATTGGTGAATAGATACCGGTATAATATAAACCGCTTTGTAATCCTCTGATATTTTTTATCACCTGTACGTACCCTATCTACTGGGGTTCGTTTTTTTTAGGGGCAAATCGTTGATGTGGCTTACGTGGACGAACCCTACCCCAGGCTCATTCGTTCCTCAGGCTGACGAGAACGAACACTCCCAAACTCATTGGTTTCTAAGGCTGACGAGGACAAACAGACCCCAAGCTCATTGGTTTCTGAGGCTGACGAGGACGAACCCTACCCCAAGCTCAATCGTTTCTCCTGCCCAGAGGGGCCTCCAGAATGGCGGCAGTGGTTGAAAGACGGCATGTCAGGAGGACGTGGATCAGTTTTCGTGCATGAAACGAGTTTCCATACTGCAACATCCCACGGCACATGGCGAAAGAAAGACTGACTACGAAATTCCAAAAACACATCGCACGAGCTTTCGTCGCACAGTTGATTTGGCGGACTGACCTGCGAAACCACAACGCGAGTAACCCTGTCACACTCGCGAGTGACAGTGAAATAGGGTTTGTCTGTGGGTCTGTGGGTTTGTCGCGGGAGAGACTGCTCGACGGCCCTAGTACATAGATCGCGAGTCCTGAACGGATAGGAGGCAATGCCGTCTCAGTACACCACATCGACGGAGCGCGTGCAGCGGCGGAATGGGGAACGGGGGGCAGTGGTGCAAGGCATGGTGTCTCTGCGCGACAGGATGACTGCTCTGCAACCTAGCTCATTGATCGTGATTCCTGAACGGAGAGGAGGTTTTACCGTCTCAGTACACCACATGGACGGAGCGCGTGCAGCGGCGGAATGGGGAACGATGGGCAGTGGCGCAAGGCACGGGGGGGGGGGGAGAAAGGAGGGACAGGGCTAGTGGGAGTAGTGCACTCTTGCCTGTCACAGGCAAGTATTTCAGTAGTCACCATGAATCAGACTGTCAAGTGTTTTCAGTTCGCTGAGCTGTTTTTTTTTTTTCTATTATTCTTACGAGTATTGCCACCGCCATGGCTCTCCGCCTCGTCCTCGGCCTTTTCACGTCGTCGTGCTGCTCCTCGCCGCCGCTGCGTCACTCACGCTCACGGCACGCCGTGCAGAGGCAGCCGCCTCGGCCGGGTCAATTTCCGTCGGCGGGTATACGCTTTTTCTTTCCAATGCAACCGTTGTGGATTCCAGTGGAACCGTTGTAACCCCCACCAAGAACGCGGATGGGTCTCAATCCGTTGGAGCCTACACTCTCTACACTAACGGCACCCTCGCAGGTCCTGACGGCCCAATCTTTGGTCCGACCTCCGACGGTGGCAAACTTGTTGGTGGCACCGTCATCTACGCAAAAACTAAGACCTTCACAGATGTCAGTGGGAACCCGGTTCAACCATGTTGCTAACGCGGACGGCTCGTCGACTATTGGAGACATAACTGCATGGGATAATAAAACTATGATCTCTGCCTCCACGGGCCTGATATACCAGCCTACTGATATTATTTCTGCGAGCGGATCAAGCGGGTCAACAACTACTGCACCTCCCAGTGGGAGCGGTTCAACCAGCACTTCGCCTCCCAGTGGAACCGGCTCTAATTCCACTACCAATGGCAAAGCTGCTTCCGCCTCTTCGATCAAGCTTGGTACAGTAAACTTGTACTCTGTTTATGACACCCACTTTTTTTTTTTTTTTTTTTTTTTTTTTGGCGTCCCTATTTCCCTCTTGTGATTGTAAGGGAGTGGCTGAATGTTGTTTGTTGCTGTGCTTCTCTCTTTGGCAGGCTACCTTGCCACTGCTGTCACCATGGCTGCTGGCTTTGCTTAGCTGCTTGCATGATAGACGGCACATGATGTGCGTTTCCTGGAAGGACTACGTTGCACTCAGAAGTCACATCGTGCATTTTATGTACCACGGTTCGTGGGGAGGGGACAGACAAGTAGACATGTGGTGGGTGCTAAGTAAACATGTGGGTGCTAAGTAGACATGTGGGTGCTATTTGCTGTGGTTCTATGAAAGGTTTATAATGTTCAGTAACAAAGAACAGGTACTACAGCAAAACCATGCAACGGCCAGGCCAGTCATTCATTCTCGAAGCACAGCGCCTTATTCAGCGCCTCCCTTGCAGCCTCCATACCGTAAGCTGTGCTTCTGGTGAGCCTGCCAGCGCTGCTGCTGCTGAAACAGCCGTGGCAATAAAGGCGATCGGCAGCAGTGCACTCGAGACTGCTGCACTCATTCCTTCGATAGAGTCACACGGGATTGACGAAATTGACCCACCAGTGCTGCTGCTGCGACTCTGGCCGTGCATACAACCTGCTGCTTCTGGTGCTGGTGGTGCTTCTGCTGCTGCTGCCGAATCTCCTCCTGAACTGCTATAATTGCTGTCATTGCACAGTAAATTAGACATGGCGTCGTGGCTGCAGCTTTCGGGTAACACTGATTCAGCAGCAAGACTTTTGGAACCAAAAGCAAGATCGACAGTGAATTCAGACGCTCGGGTGGAGCTACCAGGAAAAGCAGCTGCAGCACTGGTGCGGGCAGTACTGGGAGAGTTTGGTGCAGCGGTGTGCAGAGCGGTGCAGTTCAGTATGTGGGAGGCGAGCTCGATTGTTGCATGGCGCCACCACACGGCTCTTTCTTCCACCTGCTGCACCTGATGGGGGCAGGCAAGGGGGGCAGGAGCAGTCATCTCAATGGCTGCATGGCGCCACCACATGGCTCTTTCTGTCAAATTGTATTTGTTATCTGTAAATTGTAGTGGGGCATACCCTAAAGGGTACAACACTTTAGGGTTAGGTAGTACTTGTACTCACTCTTCCTAGCTAGTCCATCATTCTTACGTTCTTACTTCTGACATGGTATTCAGAGCGGGTTCGTCAGTAGGACCGCTCCGTTAGGGCCCACCGATAGTTTCGACCTGCCCGATCTGCCCGATCTGCCCGTACTGCCCTGCCCGAACTGCCCGTACTGCCCTGCCCTGCTTGCACTGCCCCGCACGGCCTGCCCTGCCCGTCGCGCTGCCCGCTTGCTGCCTAGCGCGCGACCTGCACGCTGCCCTGCTCGCGGCCTGCTCGCGCGGCCTGCGCGCGCGCTGCCCTAGGTCTCCGTGCGCCCTGCCCGCACGCTGCCTGCGCTGCCCGCACGCTGCCTGCGCTGCCCGTGCGCTGCTGCTGCTGCCCGCTCGCTGCGTTCCCTGCCCGCGCGCTGCCTGCCTCGCTCGCGCACTGCCTGCGCGCTGCCTGCACTGCCAGCGCCCTGCCCGCGCACCGCGCGCCCTGCCTGCGCCCTGCCCGCACGCCGCTGGCGCTGCCAGCGCGCTGCCCTTAAGGCCCGCCCTGCTCGCGCACTGCCCGCACAGCCCGCGCGCGGCCTTAAGAGCGCCGCCTGCACGCGCCCTGCCCACGCTGCGGCTGCTGCTAAGCTCCTGCTGCTGCCAGCGCCGCGCTGCCCCGCCGTGCCCGAGCCGCGTCGCACCGCCCGAGCCGCGCCGCCCTGCCGAGCCGCGCCGCCCTACCGAACCGCGCCGCGCTGCTTAGTGTCAAACTATATTTCTATAGTTATGTTAGTTCTAGTCTAGGTGTATTCCGTTGTGTTAGGGTTGGGGTTAGCCTTGCATATATCTTTCCTGTTTTGTTCATTGTTGATCATTCATTCTCATATTCAAACATGGTATAGAGCTAGGATCCCCCTAGGCGATTTCTCCCTAGGCGATTTTTCCTAGGCGAAATTTCACTCGATAGTCATGGGCCCACCACCCGCACGCCTCGTCATAGCGCGCGCCCCGTAGCGCGTCACCCGTCGTCCGTCGCACGTCGACCGTCGCCCATCGCCCATGTCAGAAGTAGTAGGAAGAAACAAGAATGAAGAAAAGGAGGGGTTTCACTAGCAAGCAGTTGGATACATATAGCAAACCCTAATTGGGCTGTACTCACTATGGAGTACCCCACTGCAGGCTAGACAATAATAACATTCTGACACACCCCCATAGCCAAAGTGGGGTGTAATCAGCACAATGAGCAAAGCTAGTGGTAGTCACAGCGGGCAAGTGAGGAGGAGGAGGGACTGTGAGAGGAGAGAAGATGGGAGACGACGGCTGAAGTTGCAGACACACGGGCAACAGGAGTGGCTGGCACAGTGGCTACCGGGACAGCGCCCCGGACTACTGGAGTAACTGGCTCACGGGCTACGAGGAGCTACAGGAGCAACGGACCCACGGGCGACAGGCGCAGCAGGCTCTCTGGGCTACCAGGACAGAGCCCCGGACTACAGGTGCTGCGGATGACAAGACGGCAGCCTCCGCTCAACCTCCCCCAACTCTCCCACCCCCCTTTCACACACCCCTTGCTGTACCCCTAGCTCCACTCCCACGTCACCCCCCTAGCACCACTCCTTCGGCTCCCTCACACCCACCCCCCTCAGCGGCAGCTGCAGCAGTGGGAGACGGAGGAGGAGGAGGAGCAGGGGACGGTTCACACACCCGCTACCACCATACCCGTCACCCCCATACCCTGAGTGTGCGGTAAGCGAGCTCAGGTGTGCTCGAAGCGTGCACAAGCGTGCGGGTAGCGAACTCGGGTGTGCAGTAAGCGAACTCGGGTGTGCGAGGAGGGGTGGCCGCAGGGCGACGCGACGGGATCGCAGGGGGCGCGCGCGGGTCCCCAGGGGCGACGCGACGGTCGACCGGGGGGGGGGGGGGACGCGCGGCCC